AGGAATTAAAGTCTGAGAGAAGTAAAGTGGAATATACAGATGTCTAACAATGATGAAAATTGGGACAAATGCACATCTTTGCACTGAGGATGCACAAAGGACTGACCTATAAAGGATTCATCAACCTCAAAGAAGCAGCATAATCTCCTCTGTCCATAGAAACTGTGGCCAAAGGGCTTGAGCAACTGGAGATCTGAACACTCCTGAGGAACTAAGCAGTGCCAACTGCTGTCACTCAGAGGTCCAGCTACTCCTGTCCACTCACTCATCCACCCATTCCAGCAAACAAAAATACACCGAACACCCAACACATCCCAGGCGATGCTCCCTAGCTCCACACCCTCATTTTTGTCCTTTGCTAGATTCCCCCACACGGATGTTCTGCAAGTTCCTACAGCTTGGCTTACTCAAAACCAACCTCTGCATTCAGTGTGCCTTGGATTTTTATGGTCATTCAGGTCACATGCCTTCAGTATGCTACTGGAGAGTGAGCTTTCTCGGGTGAGATTCATGCCTGATGCACCTCTGAGTCCTCCAAAGCCTAGAGTCTAAGGACCCAGACCATACGGGCTTTCTTTACTGGACTCATGACATTTCTGTGTGATCAGCAGCTTCATTTTCTCTCTCGTGGACTACCCTGTGATATTTTTTAAGGGTGAATGAAATGAAAGGGAGGGAAGGAAAAAACATCTTGTATTTTCATCACCTTATCTTCCTAAGTGATTTTCCCATTTCATTTGGGGTCATTATTTATTCTCACATCCACCAGTCCTCTTCCCTCCGCTGGCACGGGCATTACTATGATCTTCTGATTCCTCTGCCTTCCTTTAATGTCTGTAATATTAGCTGTTAACTCTTGTTGCTTCTACTGCAACTTTGTCCAAATCTTTTCTGTTCTCTTGGCCATCATCTTGCTTCAGGCTCTCTGTCTCTTGCAAAAGCTATCATAAATGGTCTCCAAATTGGGCACCCCACACCAATTCATACGACACGCACTGCTGCCTCATAAACTTTCCTGATTCATGCTCTCATTCTTTGCTTGAAACCTTCCAAGTTCCCTACGATCCATGGAATTCACTCAGACCTCTCCGCTAGACTTGAAGGCTTTACATAATACGCCATTTACATTTTGGTTGCAATGTCCCACTGCTGTCCTACTGACACCTTCTCCTCTTCCCTTGTACTCCCCAATCAAACAGGACTACACACTTTTCATTAAATACACCTTGCATTTTCCATCTCTGTCACTTCTGCCTGGGCCAGCCTTCCTCATTCTATCCTTCGAGGCCAACCACAAACACCAGCTGTTTCGTGAAGTAGGTCCAGACACCCCAACAGACGGGATGGCTGCCTCCTTTAATATTAGCAGCACTTCGTATTGCCTTCTTGGAATCAATCTTGTTTGCTTGATGCATTTAATCCTGTGTTTTTTTTTTTTTTTAAAGATTTTATTTATTTATTTGTCAGAGAGAGAGAGGGAGAGAGAGCAAGCACAGGCAGACAGAATGGAAGGCAGAGGCAGAGGGAGAAGCAGGCTCCCCGATGAGCAAGGAGCCCGATGTGGGACTCGATCCCAGGACGCCGGGATCATGACCTGAGCCGAAGGCAGCTGCTTAACCAACTGAGCCACCCAGGCGTCCCAATCCTGTTTTATTTATAGTCCTTTGGTATTTACCTTGTGTACTGCCATAAAGTACCTTAAGGTAAGGATCAGTAGTTTCCTTATTTTGTGTTTTTGGCAGAGTCTAGTACAGAGCCTTGTACCTACAGGCAATCAATCAAATATCTGTTGGAGCTGAACTGTTCTCTAAACTTTGCTGTAAGCTCTTTGAGGACAGTGACTTTAAGTATTGCTGTGTCTCTTGATACAACTAAGGGCCTTATACATAACAGGTGATTGAAACATATTTATTTAAATAACTTCCCAGTTCCAGAGCAAGATTTTTCAAACTACATGTAATACTGGCATTAACCTAAAATATTCACTTAGAAATCTCTCACCAATTAACACAAAAGAAGAAGGAAAGAAACACTGACCCTAACATTCTTTTCCTTTAGTTTTATATGATAATGCCTAACTCGTACTAGGTGCTTATCATGTGCCAGACTTTGTACTCCAAGCCCTACAATGCCCATCTCATGTAGTCCTCACCCCACAGCACCACGAGGCCCTGCCTTTCCCCCACTTGATGGGCAAGAGGTGCAGGGAAGTGAAGTGACTTGACCCCACACTGAGCAAATGGCAGAGCTGAGATTTGAACTCAGGCAGTTTCTGCCTCTAGAGCCCATGGTTGTCACCATCATGGCACCCTATCTGGACTGAGTTTACTGAGCCCCTTAATTTTAACAGTCTGAGTTAAAAGAAAAAAGAAAGCTTCTAAAAATAGTAAAAACAAGAACTTCTTGTCTTTTAGATTATTTTAATGGATGGAAAAATAAAGAATTGTTACATCTATTTCATCTACCTCAATGTAAACCTCAAATTTAAGAGACCCATTTGTTTTTTCTCAAACAACACGCCAGGTCCATACTCGACCATGCATCCCAAAGGACAGAAGAGATGACAAAGATAACATACTAGCAGACTACTGAATAATCATTTAATTTTGGAAAGCGATCTAGAAAGCTCAGAATCAAAGAAAACCATTTACTCCCCCTTCTCCATGCAAGTCTTTACACACTCAAAAACTCTTGTTGGTGGTCCGGACTCTGATTGGTTGGCAGACAAGGGATGTGAGTGTTGTCACAGATAGTCTACAAGTTAAAAAAAAAAAAAACAACAAAAAAAACAAACCCAGAAATGTCTCTCTTTTTGACTTTTCATCAGTCTGCATAGAAAAGCACTTGTACCAATTCTGGCCAAGTGCTGGAAAAGAATATATTAGCACCAAGGAGCTGAGAGACCGTGAAACTGGAGAGAAGGAAAAAGTAACGGCTGTAAATACGATGAGGGCACATTGAGGGAAAAGTCGCACACCGTAAGATAGAAGTCGTTGCTTCCCTTAGGGTTTCGGAGATACAAGTATGCTAATCAGGGATGGACTCCAGTGTTAGATCCAAGGAACACCACCTGCCAGCCCGATCACCAGTGTCTCTTCAACCTCCAATGGAAATATTAAAGATGAGATTTATTAACTCTAGCTGAAATTATATGAAGCAAGGACAAAGTCTGATCTTTAGTAAAATGAAGTAGAAAAATACCAGTTGATGCTTCAACTCCTTGGGTCATTTCTTTAGCTGCTCAAAGTTAGAAAAAATGAATATAAAAAGTCAGATCACAGTAACTTCCACTATTAGTCGTAGCTACTGTTTTCTAGATCTAAGTGCTAATGTTAAAAACAGACCAGATGTATGATGAATTTCTGTGACTCAAGCAATACGTTAAGATCCAAATCCCATTTATGAAGCAAAATTTTATTACAGAGTATTTCCACTCTTTCATAATGATCTAAAGTACTCAGTTGTTAGTGACTTCAGTATTTCAAGGTGTAGATCAGATGTTCAGAGAAGAACAGAGGAGAAAAGAATTAGCCCATTATATTCAATAACATATCATGGAAAATGACAGCCGGAAATACTCATGAGCACCAGCCCTCTCCCTCTGCTATAGCAGAAATCACAAAAACAAAAACAAAGCACATAATGGAAAAAGGAGTTTAAGTCAAGAGAAAACACCTTACGACGTTTCAAGCTTCTTAAAAATACATCCACTGAAACATGAAAAATAACCCCCAAATCAAATGCAAAAACCATGTTGCTCTAACACAACTGAATAAATGCAAATTCATAACAGTTTGTAACGTTTTTTAAGAAATCAGCAAAAACGGCATTAACTAAACGTTTTCACAGAGATGGAACATTAAGTTTTAATAACATCTACTGAACCGCATGAGAAAACTTTGTTTCAGACCACCGCAGCTCTCACATTCACCCAAAAGCCCCAATACCCTTAACACCGTGAAGGTGAAGTGCTGACTATTTTGGTAGAGACTTTTTTTTTTTTTTTTTTTTTTAGATTTTTATTTTAAGCATTAGGTTTGATATGTGGAAGAAGTAATGACAAGATGGGATTTATATTTATGTAGGTGAATTAGAAAATGAAATTCAGAGCTGGACAGAGTGACAGATCAAGTGGTATAAAATAGAAATTAAGGCCAACCAGGCTCAGATTAAAAAACTGATGAGAGATCTCAGCCTATAACTTACGAAGAAAGAGAGAGAGAAGCTAAGAGAATGTCAGTCAGTTTTGTAATTTAGGTTAATTTTGTTTCATATTTTAGAGAAGAATTGTACCATTAAATGTTAAACTTCTAAAGCACTATTTCTTAGGTGCCTTCAGTGTAATCCATTATGACCTCATAATTTTGTAATATCTTCCAACATATTTGAAACTTCAGGGACAGCATATTTTAATACTGGAATTAAACTGAGAAAGAAGTTTGTTTCAAAATAATTTTCACTTTACTTGCTTCCAACATTAATTTGTTATCACAGTAGTTACAGAAATCTCTACCCAGGGGATTGATGACCTGCTCTCCGAAATGGACATTATGCAAGTATGGTAGAGACCTATCTTAAAAGTACATCCTTTTCCTCTCCAAGACAACTCTATCCACAACACTCCGTGTCCTGAGTAATGAAGCTTAGCTGTTCATTCTAAGAGTGGAAGAGGTGGAGAAAAAGAAAAATATCTATGAGTCCTCCCCGCAATAAATCTCAATCCTACTTCACGCCTTTTCCTTCACAGTTAACCATTTTAAGATGCTAATAATTTTACCATATTTCCCCCTGGAGTGTTCTCTATCAAGATTAAAAAAGGGCTTATTCACAAACAAACAGGATACAGGAGTGATGGAGTGGCTTCCAGGCAAGCTATAAATAGCAACAGCATTTTCAAGAAATCTTGTGCCGGTGTGTAAGTTACAGCTGAAACAGGCAGTGCAGATTTTATTACAATGGTGTCACCAAAATTCATTGTTATATGAGAAATGCAATCTTACCAAGTTTTCTTGGTTCCTGGCTGCTATTTTCTGCTCCTCTTCTGCCCCATTTTTCATGTACTTGACCTCTTCCACCGGTTTGATCCTATACTCGTCTGAGCACCAAAAAAAGAAAAGACATTTTATAACTTTTTCACAACAGTAGAAAAGTGTCACTGAGAAAAGCCCCCAGGAGCGTAATTTGTCAGAGCCCTTTCCCTGCAGCCTTCGATGTGGTTCATTTGAAACAATCCGGAAGACGCTTAACCAGCCTCTTTCTAGAAAGTGCTCTCCTCTGCCCATTGGAAAGAGCCCGGCACCATGAAGGCAGCTAATGAACATGGCATTGCCTGGTCCCTTCACAGAGAGCAAAGGGCAGCAGAGGAAAGAGAAGTTATTCTGCCTTTAAAGACTATCTGGAACCGATACATAATAGGGCATTTCACATAATGGTCTAAGAAGTTTCTTCTCCATGAGAACATTAGTTCAAAATGCCTGTGGCAGCAACTTTCAGCAATACACACACACCTTAATTTCCCTCTTTTGCAAAAACGAAATATTGCTTAAGACTAAAGAGTTTAATTGACCAACAAATAGATACCAAAAATGGGGGACTGAAATTTTCCTACTTGTGATCCCCATATTAAACGTGGAGCAGTCTGCAATCACTTCATACACTGCACACATATGTGTGCATATGTGCGTGCACTCACGCACGCACGCACACACACACACACACACACTTTAATCTCTGTACAGTCAGAGGCATGAAGAGCCACAGGATTTAAGGGAGCTCATCGGTATATCACTGCAGACTGGAGAGGTCGTGGGCCTTTAGGTAATGGGATCTCGACTTCCCAACAGCCAGAGAGAGAGAGTACAATAAATCTCAGTCTCGTATATAGCACAGGACAAACTCTGGAGAACATACAGCTACGGCTCTTCTCCAGGGCAGCAGTCTGGGAATGATGGTGACGCTTCTGTCAAATTCCCGTCAACAGGAAATGACTTGGGAACCCTAAGGTCCAAATAGGTGTGACTTCGAGTCATCTCTAATTTGTTGGAAAAATCACAGAAATTGTGCAAGTGGAAAATGCCACCAGTCAACAAACTGACGGCTGCCTTGCGTAGGCATGGAATAATGCCCATGATGGTCTACCTGAAAGACAGACGTTTATCGCCAAGGGAGTCTGCGTTTCAGTCCAGGAAGTTGTAATGTAATAAACCTCAACACACTACCTCCTTCCCCCAAGAGGTCTGCTAAAGTAACATTTCCCCAAGTAGTTGTACTGTTCAAATGTTTCTCAAAATGATCATCCTTAGGAAAGTAGTACGTTTGCTTGTATCTGAATAAAGATTCTGTGTTCATGGCTAAGCCAATTGTTTTTTTCCACCTGACAATTCAAGGTAGTTATTGATTTTGCTTCTTTCTGAAGAAATTAGGAAGACCAGTGTGAGGTTACAGTAATGAGCCCTTCAGGAATACGGAGTCCTAAATGCATTAACTAGTTAATCGGTGAGCTCCGATCCACAGTCACAACACAGAAGAATTTCACATTCCAATTTGGCTTTAAGAGGAAAAAAATGAAAGTAAATGAACAAAATGGACACATTTAATTAAGGATTACTTACTCAGAAGTTAGAAAAGCACTTGTTAATTACAAAAAAAAAAAAGACATCGACAAATTATGCCTCCAATATAATTACACAGAGATAAAAATAAAGGTTAAAAAAAAAAAAAAAAGCTAGAGATGAGCCTCCCTAACTTCAATTTGGGGCATTAATATTTATAAACCATGGTTCACTTGGATAAATACTAACATTTCACTGGACTAAATTGTGATCTTAATTACTTCTGGTCTCTATTTACATATAAATTATACACACACGCACATAGTTTTTAAACCTAATTCCAGTGGATTTCTAGGACTGTCTGTAGGATCCTACCCCTCAGCTGATAGCACTAGGAAAGCACGACATTTTAGGACCTAAACAGAACTTTCTGAAAGATGGTACTTCGCCCACCGCATGGCCAAGGGTCTGTCCTGGAGAAGAGCGACCCTTGCCTTCTCCCTTTCCCTTCACCCACTAAGCCATGGCCCACAGTCCACACTCTCTGGGCCGTCCAGCAACATTCAGTCTTTATTTGCTTTTTTACCCTCCAGGGAATGCAAGTGAATTGAAAGTAGTAGACAACCTATTAATATTTTCCTAATATATTTCTTCAATGAAATGGGAAACCCGCTGGCAACATGACTTTCAAAGCAGCATTATCCCAAATACAGGCTTTTTTTTTTTTTTTTTTTTTTTAAACATGAAGGCAGAATCATCATCAATTCAGAAAGAGGATAGGTTTTAGCGTGTCGTTAACAACCACAGCTGGCTGGCCGATGCGGAACACAAAGAAAGAAAAAACAAACAGCCACGACTACAAAGCCAGACCTATCGTTATTACTTACACAACACACTGCACAAAATCCATTGTGGTCTAAAAGAACAACAAAAAAGCCAGCAAGACCCTTCGATAAACCACAATTTGTACAAAGCAAATACTGGAAAAAAAAAAGGTCTGTTACATTTCTCAGAGGCTGGGAATGAAGATGTCCATCTGGAAACAGACAACTCATCAACAAATGTGTCACACATTTCCATGGCGATGCAGCCGTCAGGAACAGCACTCGCCAGCAAGCCTCAGTGCGGACGGATGGAGCGTCTCGGGTTCTGACAGCGCACCATCCAGGCACAAATCCCGTTTTCCTTTGTTTAAGGCACAGGGGAGCCAGTGTGGGACTCTGGGCCCCCTTCATCAAGCCCCACACTTGAGGCAATTAGCGCAGCCACCGGTAGAAGCCAGAGCGTCCTGGCATCAGAACAATGTGCCAACTTGATTAAGAGGAGGGAGAGGCAGGACCATCTTCCTCTGGCTCCCTCACACCTGTTCACAATTTTTCTTTTCTTCCTGTTGATCTTGTCAGGTGGCCTATTAAAATGCACATCAGGAACAGGAGGCTGACACCCCGTTCCGAACCCGCTCCCCCTTCTCTCTATGTAAACAGTCACAAGCTGTGCTAGTCAAAATAATTCTGGGGTAAAAGCAATGCATTGGTGATATTTTTAGCATTTTATTCCCCATCCTACATCAGAGAGGGGCCGGATTGTTTTTGCGATGGCTCTGGCATGAAGATACAGTTTCCCACCAAATCTGTGGGCTTCATTTTGATGTACAGTATATATCTATATTGTGTGTGTGTGTACAGTATTAGAGCTTTTAGAGCTAGGAAGGGATCAGTTAGCTGCACATGCTTTAGGCAGTATGGACTCGCCCCATTTTCTGGGTCCTGTCAATTCTTCCATCATCAGAGCTTTTAGAGCTAGGAAGGGATCAGTTAGCTGCACATGCTTTAGGCAGTATGGACTCGCCCCATTTTCTGGATCCTGTCAATTCTTCCATCATCAACAACTCACTGGCCCTAATCTAATTCTCCCAAGTTTTGCCATAAGGTTACCTTTATAATCAAGGCAACAGGCTTTCAGATGAAGCTATTAGATGGAGAGAAGTGCTGGAGTGAGTTTATAATGCCAGAATTATTAAAAAAAAAAAAAGTTAATAGTTTTCACAGATGTATACATTAGATGGGGAAGGAAGAAAGGCAGAATGCCTTATATGCTATTCTCTCTAGCAAGAAGGGATCTTACAGTTGTTTGCTAAAATGGTGAAATTTGCATCTGCTTTCATACCTTCTTGCTCAGTCTTCTTTTGATCAATGACACATATGTGGTAATAAATTTGTTTTCCAGGACTGTTCTAATTTCAAAAATTCTGTGTTAATGTCCGTGTTAATGTCCTCATATTAAGAATGTCCAACATCTGGGCATCTTAACTGAACGCTCTGGATTGCTCAGAATTTGCATGAAGATTCTCTGGTAGACAATTATGATATGCTCAGGAGAACATGAGAGCTTGGGAAAGATATTGCAAGAAGTATTTATAAACATAAGCGATTGGAAAGAAAACAACCATACTAACCTTATAGCATACACTTGTTCCTCTGGGGTTTCTCCCATTGAATAGCCTATCTCCCAAGCTAACTAATTTGAGCCTTAAAATCCCGGTACAACTTCAAATTCTTGCTTAAGATCTTTATTTCCTTACTAGGATTTTTCAAGAAGCAAGTATTCATAATGGCTAAAAGCTTGGCTTCTAGAGCTGGAATGCCTAGCCATACAACCCTGGGCAAGTTACTCATCCTTTCTGTGCCCTGATTTCTTCATTGGTAAATTGGGAATATCTACAGTACCTAATCTCACACACAGAGTCACACGAATTAATACATGAAAACAGTGCCTTATCTATAGTAAATACTCAATATATGTTAGCTGCTGCTTTCGAAAGCTCTGCTGGTTCTGCAGGGAATATTATTCCTGATGTACAAAATCCATCAAGATACAAAAAGAAAAGGTATAATACAAACATCACTAATTAATTAAACCAAAAATTGTGACTTAACTGCATTAACAAATGAAGAGAGAGGAAGTGAGAAGGGGATTTATGATCCAGTTATCATCCATAATAAGGCTTCAGTGTTTTTTCAGCCATGCACCTGTATTACTTTAATCAAAATACTAACTAAAGTACCGTATTACTTCAGTTAGAATAATTTTGAAAGAATAATAAACAACTTCTATGACTGAGAAAAGAAAAGTGACCATTATTTAAGTGAAAGCAGGGGTACAACAAAATGGTGCCCTTCTTCCTTCCCTTATGTCCTCATTCAACAGTTGCCATTGGCACCACCTCGGTGTAGCCTACCTTGAGGGCCAAGAGCGAACAAGCGAGATCCCAACTAAGAACAGGCATAATGACTGTTTTCGAGCCAGAAGAGTAGAGGCGGCTCTACAAACAAGCAACTGTAGAAGGAAAACCCTTTTCTGGAAGGACAAAGAGGCAGGACTCTCTGAAACTACAAACCAAAGATGGATCTGTGTGTCAAGTGCCGTGGGAAGACATGTATTCTCACTTCGGGAGACTCCAGCTCACCCGCGGCGCCTGCTTCCACTGGTTCCACTCAACAAACAGCATGTACTGTCCGCTGGGTGCTAAGCCCTGGTCTTTCTC